ACGTTTTCTCCATACCAAAATTTTTACATTGTACTAACTTTTCAGCCAATACGACCAGATAGTTTTTAGTCGAGCGAAATTTCTTGACGAATTCTAAAAACAATTGGTTGAAATTTGCAAGTTTCAATTGTTTTGAAACTATAATTTGACAACCGATATTGTCATTTTTTAATTTGAAAACAAGCGCTTTCACCAGCAAAAAGAATAATCAAAACGCAAAAACTAATTTAGGATAATTCGACTGGCTTGAGATTGGGTTTCCGGATAAGATTAACTTACATAGTTTTGGTATGAATGGTGCTTTATTTCCTTTTAAGTTTTTTTTCCATAGCATTCATGGAACACTCGCATTACAAGAAATTAGTGGTTGAGATTTTCACGACGAGTTTGTTTAACCACGTGAATACTAGACCAGTAAAAAAGTTTTGCGAAACTAATGAATTAATCATTTTACTACATAATAGTTCATAAATTTAGAAACAAAACTTTCTCGAGTCTTGGGAAAATGAATAAACTGCCCAGGACTTTTTTTCGTGACCCCTGTTAAGATCAATTAACTGCTCAACCCATTTTCTCGTGTAAAGTTCAAACAACTGCCCATCACTTTTGAGTCTTGCGAAGTTCAAATAACTGCCCCTAGATTTTTTTCTTGTGTCGTGGGAATTTCCAACAACTGCCCGACAGTTTTGAGTCTTGCGAACTTTCAAAAACTGCCCGTTAAGTTTTTTCTTGAGTCGTGGGAAGTTCAAACAACTGCCCATAACCTTTGGTCATGACAAGTTATTTGAAGAACTGCCCATTTTATTTGGTCTTAGGAAGCTTAAAAATTTTCACAACGCTTTTTTACTATAGGCTTGGGAAGTTCAAACAACTGCCCGTTTTTTGATTTTTGTTAAGTAATGGAAAAATCAAACAACTGCCCAAAATTTTATCTCTTGAGTCTTGGGAATTTCACATGCCCAAGTGTCCTTCTTTCGAATAATTTTTGTTTAAACTTTTAACATCGAAGGCTGATCAGATCATTTGAATCCAAAAATTTTTTAGAACAAACTAAACTTTTCAGCCGAAATGACGTAATTCAAAATTACTGTTAAAATAACTTTTCAAAATTTTTTTATCCTAGTTACTAATAACTCTTAGGGTCAATTCAAACTTTAGAATTGTATATAGATTTGTAATAAAGACAGTGTAAATAATTCTACAGAGAGTAAGAACAGGTTAATGATATTGGGTTTTAAGAAAAAAAATGTTGAGGGAGTTCTGGTAAAAGTAATTTGAGCATTGGATATCGGGATTCAGGAAAATGAAGAAAATTCGAGTTAAAATGATCGAAAAAAATGAGATTCAAAAGCAAAAGTTCAGACAAGCGGAACCACTAGTTTCAAAATAAATTTTCAAAAACAAGAAAATTAAGTGATTATGGTGAAACGAAGAACTGGTTGGTAACAAAGAAAAAGAGAATACTGATGACAGCCATTATACCAGAAAACGATTTAAAAACAGCATATCATAGTCTAAATGAGGATGACAAAAAGGTAAAAGAAACAACACCAATGCCAAACACAACTAAACAGGAGTCGGAAACATTAGTTCTCACACATATTGAAGATGACAGCAACACAAATGGCAACATTTCAGAGGCCGTAAAAATACTACCAAAGAAGAAAAACACCTTTTATGGAAAAGTTCCAGTCAGGACTCCTAAAATTTGTAAGGATGAGTTCTGAAGAAGAAGAGGATGCAACAATTAAAACTATATGGGGAATATTTTCAGTACAGTGTGAACTTTAATAACAAACATCATGGTGCCAGAGAGTAAAAACCACAAGGAAGAACGCTGGAAACCCTACAATTGACGAATCACCGTGACAACCTTGATCGATCGATTTCACAATCTTATTGAAACTAGATCCGATACAAATTAACTCAAGCTTAACAAAGAGGATCAGAAAAGTTGAAAAGGAAACTAAGGCACAGTAAGATGAAGATATTGAAAACTTATACGTGGTGGCAAAAACATTGGAAGAGAAAACTCAACAGATGGTGAAAAGGGTAGAAGAGATTGACAAGATGATATGAAGGAAATGAAAAAACAAAAAATTGAACAGTCAACTATCAATGCAGAGTCGAGATGGGAGACCATTAGCAAAGAACAGCTGAGAGCCTATGCGACATACAGACAAAACTTTATGAACTACTCAAGGAATCAATAAACTTCGCATAAGAACCAGAGAGAAAAGGAAAGCCAACGGGCACGACAGTAAATTTCGTTGATCCTAGACGTAGACAGCCTCGACAAATAACTCCAAACAATATTGTTGAAAACTCGAATAACCAAACATCGCGGGAATTTCAGAGCCACAGAGCAACTCAACCTCGGGATACGACGTTCCACATAACTTTAACGCCACATCAAGCTCATAGGTAAATAGTTGGGCGAAGATGAACAGATAGTTAGTAGCAGTTGCTGCAAGAACATCAGTACCGAGTAAGAGAGGTGGTGTTAACAAGTCCAGATTTACTTTCAAAAAGCGCAAAGTTTTTAAGGATGACTCAAACGGGTGCATGGACACATGGGTAAAGTTCAAGAATTAAATCGAGAGTAGGACACTTTGAAAGATGAAAGGTAAGCTTGCCGGGCTATGTTGAGCGAACTGGAGTGAACTGCCTTGAATTGCGTGATAATCAAAAACGAGGAGGAACTAGACACAACAGATAACACCTTTGATTGGACTACGGATTGGCCGTTTAAACTAATCAAAAGGTGGTGTAAAAAAATCTGGTAGAAGGGTCTCTCATGCAAGGTAGATCGATGTCTGGATTTATCAGCTTTTTCCGCACAGATGTTGCGTCAAGCAAACATCAGGATCATGAATTTGGTTGGGAAAACTTCAGTGTTTTACGAGGCTTAAAAACGGATCATTGATTTCATTAAACGGATCATTGATTTCCTTCTTAATGGGGTCGGCTGGTATCCCTTTGATCCACTGGCTGCTTGGAACGTTCAGTTGAAACCAAGTTTGATGCTGAATACCCGTTTTTGCTTGACGCCGAGCGTACATTATTTTGGTTGTTGGCTCGGAGCCTTCACGTTGATCATTTTTACATGCGCTTCGTGCTTAACTTCGACTGCTGAAGTCTACCAAAAGCCACTGCGTTACGAGTCGGAAGCGGGAAGCAACCATGGTCACTTCATTTATGGCCAAAATACCTGTCAAACGCTTTGGTAACAGACAATCATTTTTTCCTTTTTCCTACTCCGAGTGCTGACGTCTACCGAAAACCACTGCGTTACAAGTCGGAAGCGGGAAGTAACCACGGTCACTCCGTTTATGGAAAAACCACCTGTCAGACGCTTAAGATACAGACAACCATTTTTTGCTTTTTGCTTGAAGGTGCATCGTTGATAGCGTTTAGCGTGTACTCCATGATATACCAAGCGGTTGGCGGGAAGCATGAAAAGTGTTAGGAGCAACACTATTTAATTGAGCCGGCCTTGCATGAAAGACCGACATCTTCGGTCTTACGCTGACGCTTTTTGGTCTCGTTGGCTTCGAGAATAACCCGGGTTGACAAAAATTGTTATCATACTCTTTCGTAAAATTTCATAGAGCAAAAATAGTTGTATGAAATATTCCCAAAATTGTATGAAAATAACATGATGAGCATTTCTTTCATACTATGAAATTGTAGGAATAACATTTTTTCCATATTATGAAATTGTATGATAAGCAGTTTTTCCAAACTATGAAAAAGTATGATAGTAATGTTTTTTTTTCATAAATAAAAATATAAAAAAAAACTTTTGTTTTTGAAATTTTGTATTTCATCCGAAACACTAACACGTCATAAGAAAACCTGGAGTGTAACTGGCAGTTACCACGCAGATAAATTGCATTTGGTGATTTTAACCATTCAAGTTAGTTTCAATATTTTCTCATGGAATTATTTACCAAAAATGTAAATTTTTGTAAATGGCAAGATTTGTAGAAAACGCTTGTTTTTTTGTACAAATTTATTTTTATCGTAGCAAATGAAACAAAAAAAAAAAACAATTTTCGTGTTTATAAAAACTTTTTTGTGATTTTTGGATTTCTTGGGTGAAATAAGTATCCTGGACTATATTATAAATACAGAAAGTCAGATTTTGCATGCCGAATTTTTTTTTGAAAATTTATTTCTTAGCGCAAAAGCCTGTTTGCAACAAAAAAAGAGGTTAAAAACTTTTTACCTTAAATTTTTGTTTTTGTTTATGAAAAAATGCATATCGTACATTTTTCAGAAATCAAAACTAAATGATAAGCTTTTTTTCCGACCGAAATTAATGATGTTTTTGATAATCAAAATACCCTCTATCTTTGATATAATTAAATAAATCTATTTAAAATTATCCAGACACGTTTTTTGGTAATTTTTAGAAAAAAAAATTATGACGTAATGATTATCTTATAATTTTCATATCTGAAAATTGAATGACTAGCATTTTTTATCGAAAATTTCAAATCATTTTTTCAATGAGCAGAAAAATTCAAGACTCAAATAGATCAAAATTTTTCATTAAAAATTTTTAAAACCCTTTTTAAATTTTGTATGAAACTGTATGGTAAGCATTTTTCTTCTATGGGTCAACCCGGGAAGTTCCTTTAGTTATCAAGCGGTCGAAATGGAACTCGTGTGTGATCAAAGAAAATGCGAGAATAATGTGTTTACTGAAAAAAAAACGTAAATTCGAGATTTTGACTTTTTAATCAGAACGGAAATTGAGTGGGCATAGTCAGAACCAGCAATTGAATTGTTGTAACTAAATCTTATGTAACTTAATTGTTGATACAGTTAATTTATTTCAATGACTCTGCCAATTGTTTGTTTCTTCAGAAAAATATAAGGACCGAAAATTTGTACTCAAATGGCTTCTAATATAAATTGGATATTGATAAGCCTTCAGCTTTAATGAGCCTTCAGCGTTCAACGCAACAATTTTACATACAGAGTTATGGTTTTAAAGTTTAAAGCACGTTGTTCTTGGATTTTTTGTTTTTTGAAATTGAATAGCCCTGCTTTATTTTTTGAAATTTGCAAGTAGTTTTTTTTTCAGAACAAAAGCTCGAAATTCGATGTTTAGATAAAATTATTAATAAATCAAAAATAATATTTTGTGTCTTGGATTCTTGGATGGAGTCTTACAAAACAAACTGTAGTTTTTTGTAAGGATTTGGTTACAGAGAAGTGGTCAATCAATATCACTAGTAACAGTGTCGGTTTTGGCGAGCATCAATTTTCTTTTTCGTTCAACTCTGTTTTCATTCGGAAACACGAACATCGAGTGAATCCCAACCAGCAACCCGGGAGTAACATTCGGCCATGTAACTTTCGCCAATGACATCATAGTTTCGGCGTCACATACGAGAAGATACGACAGCCCGGTGTTGCAGTGAATTGTCGCCAACACGACTCCGTCGCTCTCGCTTCGGTTTTTGTCATACTCAATACTTGGCGACAAATTCCGAGGCACGAAACAGGGTTCGGAAGGCCACGAACCTTCCTCGTACCAGTACACGAGGTTTTCCTCGCTTTTCCGAGTGTCGATTCGGCCGATCGCGTAGCTTTGAACTATTTTCCGACTTACTTCGTCGGAGGGTCGACATAGGCACCACATGTATTGATACTCTTTGCCATAAAACATGTCGTTAATGCATGGAAACTCAACATCGGCGGTCGAAACATTCTTTCCCATAATCGGATCGGAATCCTTTTTGTTCACATTTTTCATATCCATTACAAATCGTTTGCATCTGGAGTTTAAAACCGATTCACTCGGACTATAAGTTTTAAGAACATCTCGGAAAAACATGTTCAATGCGTATAGAGACGTAAAACAAACACAGTCGAGAATAATTACCTTATTTGGTACTTCTTCATAACAGTTCACGTGATGCAATGTGAACAAAACTTCTGTGGTCTCAAACTGCGCCAGAATGTTTCCAGAAGTTTTGCAGATGACAATAATTTTTGGTTTCATGTCTGTTTGTATTGTCAACGCATCTGCAAAACCTCGTTTGGAGCCTATAAACGCCATCTTAAACATTCTAAGCATGTCAGCCGCAATTGGTTGACGCAGAATAATGATAAAGTTCGGTGTGACCGAAAAACTGTGATTGTAATTCACATATCTGTGAGTTTCCATCGGAATTTCAGTCAGAATTTTGGGTTCGTCATTTTCGTCAAGATAATAAAGCGTCTGATTAGCCTTTTCGAAAATCGAGTCCAGTGTTATTTTCTTACACATCGCTAGGCCGTACATTTTCAGTTCCGACCCACTTTCGGAAGAATCGTTCCTCATCTTCAGACCAGATTGGCTGCTCCGATCAACCTGCCAATGGGCACAAGTTCCAATAAAATGTTGGCATTTTTGGTTCTCTTTCAAGTCCAAACCTTCGAATGTTTTGGGTAGAAACAAATGAGCTGCGGGGTTCATTTTGAACAGTTTCATTGACTCTCCGACGACATAAACTGTGTCGTTGAAATCGATAGCCGCGATGTTGCAGTTGTCGCTGTAGCCGAGAATGAACGGGTGAAAATGCGAGAGAAGTCGGAAAAACGGGTTCCGAGGCCGAACTGAAGTTCCGAACTCGGAGAAGTAAGGCGAATCGTTTCGCATAGCTTTCTTATATGATTCAGTTTCCAAGAACTTGGAACTGTAAACAATTTTTCCAACAGGCTGAAATTCAAATTTCTGAATTTTGGAGTAACCATCGAAAAAATGGTTAAGTTGATGATTGCCCACCTGGAAAAGCCCGGGTCCGTTTTTGAAAAAAGTTCCATTTTTCAGCCATTCTGGAATTGATCCTTCGATAATTGTACCGATTTCGTTCTGAAAATCGTCAGGCTGCTCTTGGAAAAAAACGATATCCATGATTTGGGTGCAAATAAGCATATAATATAGCAAAAAGGTACAGCAAAATAATTTGAAGTACTACTTCAAAAAGAAGATGATTTTCCTGCTGTGGGATAACCGCAGTGTCTACAGTTTTTTTTTTTCAAATAACTGACATTTAAAGAAGCCTAATAATCTCTAGCAAACAAAAAAATGCTTACAAAATTCCCCGTACCATCTTTTGCTTAATCAATTGAAATACTGACGCAATTTGAGAGAAAACGCAGGGAAAAGCTGTTTTAAAAGGTTACTTGAACCTGAAAGATGGTTAAAATGGAAATTTTAATAAAATCTAAGTGAATTTTTGGCTCTCAATTTGAAGTTTTTGAAATAGCTTGCATGTGATCCAAGCGGTGGTAAGATGAGAGCGGGGAAAAGTATCTGTTCTTCAGATGATGGTAAGAAAAGAAATGGTAATTAGCTGTTTCTTTTGTAGCGAGAAGGAACTAATATCCTGTTAAGATGATAAACCCCTGAGCCAATAATCCTCTTACGTGAAATCTCATTCAAGTCTAATTTTTTCATTTCCCAATTCAGTTCACAGTTGGAATATATTTTTATTTGGATGGTTTTTGTTTAAAAAAAGATGCAATAATGCTCTCTCTTGTTTAGAATGACCTCCGCTTTTCTTTATTGACTGATTTTCTAAGCGATTGAAGGCCTTCAAAGAATTATTTGCTGAACAAATTTGGCTTAGATATATGGATACGGAGAACCTTCTTTTCAAAAACAGTCTAACGCATTAAATTTTTAACATATATTTGAAGTCAAAGAACTGTTTCTGTTCCTTTGTTTCTCAAAAGTTAGAGCACTGTTTGTGACTTAGAACCAAATTTAAATTTTTTTTACCTGTGATCTTCTTTGAAAAGTTATCGGGGTTTGATAATTGCCGATGTGGCTACTACTTATTTGGTTAAATTTTGGCTACACCTTTCGTGGTAATAATGAAGATACTCCAGTTAATATTTTTTATTTGGCGTTTTTATACGTTCGAAAATAAAATTAACCTTTTAACAATCAACTAAAAAATTCTATTAAAATTTTTTTTTGTGTCATTTAGATTGGATTTATATCCTATTCTTTTTTGAATATAGAAACAAGACAATATTTTCCTCTCATTATAATCGCAATCGAATCTTTGATTTTTCTCTATTTGATTCCAGACAAGTTTTTTGGTTTCTATACCATATATAGACAATAATTCTGTTTTACCCATATATTCCCATTGAAGACAACTAATTGTAAGCATGATTTTCTATTTTTCAACCAAAAAACTAGTCCTCCTTTTTAAAAAAAAAATCTAACACGTTCATTTTTCTAATCTTTCTTCCCATATATTGAGGCAATGTGCAAAAAATGTGCGTTCATGGTACTTTTCATGGATGTTTCTGAAACGCATGATCATCAAGAGCTTAATTTAAAATATCTGGAAAATAAATTTTTCTAAATATTTTTTAGTGAATTACAAACCATCAGAAAATTTTAAATATACTTCAGTAGTATTGTATCGTGTCCCGGATCCTAAGGGGGGGGTCCTTCCTAAGGGGGGGTCCTCACGTAAAGCAAAATCCTAGGAAAGGGGTCCTTAATTTTTTGGAGGACCCTCATCCTAGGATTTTGTAAACGAAAGAAATTTTCCACCCAAAAAGCAGAAGACCCCCTACTTAGGATCTTGCTAAGTTTAGCTTAACAACAAGGGACACGATACAAAATTCTTGGGGTCCTAATTATTGGTCCTGGTTAATTATATGACTCATATAAATTGTTATATTTGTTTCGGGCAAATGAACTTTCGACCTTGTTGAAATTTTTTAGTGAACGGGGAATTGACTTTTATGGTATATAATAAAAATTCGCCGGCCATTTTGGCAGCTTAGCTTAAATGTTGGCAGCAGTAAACTAATTCCTTAACTTGACCTAAATTTTATGATGAAAAGGCAGTAAATTGAAATTACTCTCCAAAGGCGGCGGCCGTTTCTGGGCAAAATATACCAAATGATAAATTTGTCAAATTTTGAAATAAGAAAAATGAAAATAGAGGGAATTTAGTGTGCTGAAGATAATGATAATGAACATTTACAATTAAGAGTGTTTTCAACCGCAGAAAAAAATTCATTTTTCAAATTTAGTAATGAACGCTACGTCGTCTTCCTCGAAAGGGCAAAGGAAATTTCAAAGAAAGAATACGAGTTAATTTTCAAAGAACAATTTTATTTGAGTGAGCTTCAACAAATCTCTTGGTGCATTTCTACAAAACAAAAGTATGGTACTGTGAGCGATTTGAATTTTGCAGATTATGAAAACGTATTCGCTTATTTGTTTGATTTTACCTCAAAAAGGGTTGATAAAGACTTGGAGAGAAAAATCCGTCTATGTTTGAACAAGCTATCAAAATACAAAAAACTTCCGGTGGTTTATTTAATTATTTACCACCGTTATCTTAATGAGACTAAATGGTATTTGCAAGGTCACTTTTATTTCCACTGGCTTGAAATTCAGCAGGTTGGAGAGGTGTTGGAAAAAATAAACAATGAAATTGCAAAAAAGCAGAGTAACTCCTATTGATTTGAAAATAATTCAAGAAATTTATACGTCTTTCAAACACACTTATCCTGATAATTCTAACCGACGCAACTATTTTCTAGCTGCATGTTCTCTGTTTTTTGTTAGTTCTGATAACCTTAACTACGACATTTTAATTAAGTTGAGACCTTATGGTGGCTTGATTGGAATTGATAACTCTTCCTTGGACAAATACTTCAAAAATTCCAAAATTTTACGATTGCACGCTATTTTGCACGATGCGGCCGGATTTATACACGAATTTTATCAACAGGGTCCCACGTACTGTTACATGTTGCCCTGGAACTGTAACAACAGCTTATTGGGACATTTGAAAGGAATAGCTTTCTGCCTTTTCATTAAGTTGAAAAAACCAGAACTTTATCATTTACTAGAATGCTAGGCGAGAGATCAGTTGTGCTTGACGTGGAAGGCTTTCGTTACATGAAAAACGCCTTTGTGATTAAAGAATTAGCAATAACAACTTCAGACTACAGCGATCGACTCATTTTTTTTTACCTCCAGTGAATTTCAATATACTACCAAAGCTTGAACAAAAAGCTTACAACTGGTTAACAAATTATTTACACGGTCTCCATTGGAAAAACGGTGATTACCTTTACATAAACTTGAATCAAATACTTCAGAGTTTTGTGTTGAGAAACCCCGGTGCCGTTTTTTACGCTAAAGGAAAAGAAAAGACAGAATTTTTGGCCAAGTACTTGGACCGAAAGATTGAAAATCAAGATAATTTGGGCTGTCCTCGGGTTGAAAACTTATATTTTAAAAATTATCCAAGTTGCAATAAACATATTCCACACTACAACTCCAGGAATTATTGTGCCCTGAAGAAAACCAAGGTTTTTTATGATTGGTTGAAAAATGAACAACAGCGAGAGATCAGCGAAAGTGGAGACATATCTATCACCAAATTCAATGCTTTGTGCTTGGAAGACTCCAGTGGGTGATATTAAAGTTTCATTAACGAGAACAGAGCGAATTGATTGCAGTGGCCAAATTGTTCAGAGGAAGGAGCAAATAATAATTTCCGAAGAAGAGTTGTCTACTTTGATGAGGTTTTTTCCAGTTATTGATCAATTTGTATACTTCCAGAGATTCAAGTTTATCAGAAATGTTAGCCAGCAAGCGAGGAGTATATCTTCCCGAACTAGTCTTAGTACCCAAACGTCAGCCAGGAGTTCAGATGGATCTAAACAGCAGTGAATTGCCAGATGAGATTAAGACGATTGTGAAAGAGGATACTGTGAAGAAAATAATGTACTACGAAAAAACTGCAAATATCCCAGCAAACTTTGATCTAGAAATGCATGACATAAATGATAGAGATTTCACACGTTATAAAATTTTGTACTGTTCTCAAAACTAATTTAATTTTTTACAAGCTTCATTCACAGAGAGAAAAAGTCTAACACAGTCTGTAGAATAAATAGTTTCTCAAATGTCAGAAGCCACAACAGCAGTAGATGAAACTGACGCAACAATAGTAACAGAGTTTGTTTATAACGAGACAAACAAAGAAAAAAATCATGGAAGATTTGTAACAATGTAACTTTGCCAAAAGGTCTGAAGTAGTTTTTGTTGCGCAAATGGTAGTAATTCTAATTTTACTAACTTTCTGCATTCTCAAACTTTCTTTCACTAAATTAAGTTGCGAAGAAACGTCAGTTTGGTTCTCGATTTTATCAGGCTTGGTTGGTTACGTACTACCAAACCCAAGGATATGAATAAAGTGATTGATACTTCGACAAGAATTTTTATGGCGATAGTGGGACCTTCAGGATCCGGGAAAACTGAGTTAATTTTGAAACTTTTGATGGGAAATATTTTTTACCCTAAATTTGGAACCGCTCTATATCTTTACAAAGAGATGCAACCTGCATTCTCAGAAAAAGTGTCTTCTCGCGAAGTGAATGTGAAGTTCATGAAATTCGACGGATTCGAATCTGTGAGAAAATTAGAAAATATTCTTCTAGTTTTCGATGATTCATGTGAAGACATCTATAATGACAAGGAATTTGTTAGGTTAGCGACAGCGGGTAGACATAGAGGGATAGATGTAATATATGTTAAGCATAACTTGTTTCAACAAAGTCGATGGTCGCGTACGATTGTTTTGAACACTTCACACATCATTCTGTTCAAATCGCCTCGCGACGTTCAGCAACTAGATTTTTTAGGAAGACAATTGAATGTATCAAAATTTTTGTGAAGTTGTTACGAATTAGCTACCAGAGACTCTTTTGGACATTTTCTAATCGACTTGGACCCCCGTACATCAGATTGTTTGAGATATTGTTCAAATATCACACGACCTGGGCCAACAGTTTTTTATTTACTCTTATCTGAAGCAGAAACTACTCCAATCACAAATGAAAAAGAAAAACTTATCTATTCTGCGGCATATGGTACAACTGAAACCTGACCAGCTAAGACGATTAATTAGAAAAACTTCAAATCGTGAGATCATAACACTTATTTGTGAATGTTTGCTCAATGTAGTCAATGGAAACGTACCCGTTAAAATCGCAAACATCGAACGATTCGAGACAGCATACAAATACTAAATCACTCCAAAAACCAGTGCTGTCAAAAACGTGCGATTATTTTGAGTAAAGAAGGCTTCCATTTAGTTCGACAAATACTTTATTTTTTTTACAAGTACCTCACAACTTAATGATGACTGCTGAAGAATTCATTCTAATTCCGAAACACTTATATGTTAAAGAGCAGCCACATGCTGCACGTGTTCTTTATGATAATAATATTAAACATAAAATTGCTCAACTGTTCTATCTTAATCGGCTTAGACCCCAATTACCTCCTCAAACTAGTAAGACTACTGCAACGAAGGAAACATTTACGGAAAATGCTGAGCCCCAACAAGAACAGCTTAAACTGTTAAGGGACGATGAAGAAGTACCGGTCGAACGTGATAAAGACAAAATACTAGAAGAGAAACACAATAGACAGACCGAAAGCATTTTAGGACAGTTACAAGTTTTGGAAGACAAAAAATTTGTTAGAGCAAA